GCGTTTCCTGTGTGGATAACACAGTACCACACACGGTCTCCCAGACCTTAACTGAAGAGGAAGGCGCTGAATGCGCTTCCTGTGTGGGTAACACAGTGCCACACGAGGTCTCGAGTGCCTCTGATGTCGTCAACGAGACATCACGACGTGGGTAACGAAGTGCCACGTCACGTCAGCCGCCGCAAGTCGGGGTCTGAACCTTGTTCAGGCCGACGTCGCTTCAAACGACTCGGAGTCCAGGGCCCGGACTCCTCTGACTCGGTCGGTGGACACCAACTCTGTCCGGTGTGTGTGCGGGTCTGCCACGCCAGCTGATCCCAACACCGAAGGTCGTCGCGCCGTATGCGCTTCGACAGTGGTGGTGCCAAAGGGCATTCACCAGGTGGGTAACATAGGTCCACATTGCGGGTAACAAGTTCCGCAAGCAGCGAAGCTGCTTAAGGAGACCGACATTCGGTGCTCCGAGCGTGGGTAACAAAGTTGCACGCAAGGTCACTCAGACTATAACAGATAAGGAAGTCGCTGTATGCGCTTCCGGTGTGGGTAACAGAGTTCCACACAACCAACGTGGGTAACAGAGTTCCACACCCAAGGCGAGTAACATAGCGCCGCACACAGAGCCATTGGCTCGAGGCGCGAGGTTGTCTTGGCCTCGCCGGACGTGAGCAACTCGCTCGACGTCAAGTCGCGCAGACTCAAACTGCTGACGCGAAGGCTGAATGCCTTCGGTCGACACGGCCGACGCGGTCGACCATACCGACGCAGTGCACATGGCGGAGAGCCGTTGCGCCTGCCAGTGGCTATTAGAAGCCACGAGAGACTCAGTAGTCTCGAGGTTAAGTGGGGGAGAGGCTCGGAAATACCTTTCCTCCCTGACTTTCCAAGAGGCAGGTAGCCGTCGTGCTGCCAGTGGCTATCACAAGCCACGAGAGACTCAATAGTCTCGAGTGTAAGTGGGGGAGAGGCTCGGAAATACCTTTCCTCCCTGGTCTTGAGGTAAGACCAAGTTCCTTACGGAACCAGGCGTCGATGTACATCGACTGCAGACTGGAGGCGAACAGCCGGGCTAGAGCTGCGGTAGCTCTAGCCGAACAAGACATAGTGGCGAAGAAAGCCACGGGCGCAAGGTGCCTCGGAATCGCTGAGCGAATCAGCAGTGTTGGGGTTGCAAGCAACCACACACGAGGCGAAGCGCGGGCCTAGTGCAATCAACGCACTGGACCCTTGGTCATGAACGACCTGTCGAGTAGGGTGAACGGAACGTCTCACCCGCCGACAAAGCGGTTGCGGTACGTGATGTACGCAACGCGCTGGGTATAATGGGCCGTGGAGCCATTACCCAAGTGTGGTGCACGAGTGCACACACAACTGACCAGGTGGTGGTCGAGGCAAGGCACGCAGTCGTAACTGGTGCCGCACCGAGCATGGCACCGTGGTGATGGCAGCTTGCCTCACCATGGGTTGGTACCCGTGAGTACTCGGTGTCAATGCCAGACACCAACGCCGCAGTGGCATGGTGGTGAGATATGCCCCACCACGGTCGAGTACCATCAAGGTACATGGTGTCTGTGACAGACACTGGTATAGGTGCAAAGGATATGCACCATACCACGACCCGATGCGCTCTGGACGCTGTGAGTCAACGCACGTACTGTGCATCGGCACTGGCTGCTGTCAAGCAGCCTGCCAGGAGTTCCACGTAATGAACTCGTCGCGCATGACACACATGACGTGCACGGAGCACTTATGGTAGCTGTGGTACGTGTCGTACACAGCGTACCTCGTGTACGGGCCCATGGACCTGTACACTGTGCTTGCACATGCGTCGTGCATGATGCGAGCACTGGCCATGAATCTGTTCAGGCGACAGCACAGCAGAAACTGTTGCCGCCAAACATGGCAACCTTGTGGTGGGCGTACCGCACCAAAAGCTAGTACCGTACGGTACATGGTGTCGATGGGAGACACCTACACCACGGTTGTGTACCGTCACGGTACACGGTGTCGATGAAGGACACCTTCGCGCCGTTGGTATGGTGACCAAGACGCGAAGAGAGCGTGGCAAAAGCTCCGTCCGCAAGGATGAATCCTTGCTGGAGCCAAAGGCATGGCCCGAGGTGAGCTGAGAGCTCCCTCTAGTGCTGGGGAAGGTGTTGCCCTTCTCGGTGTCATCCCTCGCGGGAGACACCATGCTTCGGACGCGTTCGCGAGGACTGTCGTGTCCTCTGGTGCGAGCTGTGGGCGAATGCCACACGTTCGGATGTTATTGCACGCTGTGCCAAAGCACTGTACGCGCGCTAGCGCAGGAGCTAAGGCAGCTCTGAGTGTAGGCTTTGCGGCCAACACAGTTGTGAGCATAGGGATGCAAATCCCAGTGAGCTTTGGCAGCACAAGTCACTGTGGATGTGACTGAGAGCCGCGCCAGTCTCGTGGCTGCTCAGTGTGAGAAATCACCTTTTGGTGTTTTAATTCTCTCACTTCTGATTGGAGAATCAGTTGTGATTGGAGAATCAGGTGATTCTCAGTTAAGTGCGGGAGGATGTAACGGGGTACAATCCAGTGTGCCCCATGTTACATAAAGAGTGACCCGTCACTCTTGTGGACACCTGATACACGGTACCAGGTGCTCTCGGAACCAGTCAGTGCATGACTACTTAGCTCCACTATAGGTAACCTCTAGTTTGTATGTGACCCAAGCTTATCTTACTTATAAATATTAAATCTACTCCTCTAAGTAGCAAACCGTTCCCACTGAGGCCGGGAACACGTGGACTTACGTTCACTCGGGTAGTTAATACCCTTAAGCACTTCCTCTGTGCAAGGTGCTGTGTGACCCCGTCACACCCTCGGCGGTAATCCGTGGCACGTTCAACCAATAAATGTGCGGCTCCCGATGACCAGCAGCATAAAACTTAAATTAAATTTCTTCTCTCATCCCTCAGTTGTAAAAGGATTACAATAACATGCATTGTGGGATGATCAACTATGAGTAAGTCCAATAATACAGGACATCGGAATGCCAGCATAGAATAGTTGCAGCTCCAATCTTTACTCTCACGAACGTTTCTGGTCGTTACCGGTATATCACTGATCTCCTCACAAGGTTCTTTAGGGCGTGTTCGCGTTGTGCCTGGAGATTGAGATGGTCCCATCTCACTAAATACGTCTAACAATTGATTGGCCAAAAACCATTTGTTACAACTGCACAACTGGAGATTAGAGGTGATATCCTTCTCCACCTATTGGAGGTGGAGACAGGAGACGGAGGTAGAGACGAGAGGCTCACAATTTGTTATGGAGGAGGACATTGAAAACGTTTTGCTAGCTGTGTGTGCTGCAGTAGGACAAGCGGCTGTACGCTTATAACTGCTGTACGTATAATGTAGCGCTAGACTCATACACAGTACCTTTGACTTGCACTGGGTAGCATCAACCTCGAGGCCACCAATACGGTGAGTCTCTGCAGCTAGTTAATCCCACGCAGCACTCAACTGCTTCGAGTTCTTAGTGCCATCAAACAACCCCTTCAAGCTATCGAATCGCAATCTCAGCAGCACCTCAGCCGCATTTACTGTCCACGCAAATGGGTGCTTTGTCTCGTTCCTGCCTTGATTCCTGCGGCGTGGTGCGCTCTGACCACTGCTGGTACGAGTGTGTACCGGTATGATAGCTGCGTCGTCCTCTGGTTGAGTGGCGTCTTCAGACCTTAACTGCATCATTCTTTGTTCTGCAGGAGAGCGTGAAGATAAGGATGTGACTTCTCGATTCTAGGTTGTGAGTGCCGTGTCCACACATGGTATCGGCACCTGATTGGTTTAAACTGCACCTGGAGAAGGATACGTAGCGACACAACTGGAGGTGGAGATCGTAGGACACCACAATCATCTCCATCTCCAGGCACAACGCGAACAGGCCCTTATACCCGCCCACGGAGCAACCCAGCCCCTGACAACGTGGACACAACAGCTCGTTCGCAAGATTAAACTTGGTGGCTGCGACGATGGCGAACGAACATGCCAAGTTGTTGGAAGCTATTGACACGTATGACCAATTTAATAGGTTTGACAGTCTTCATAGTACTATTTACTGCTGGTTAGATTGTGGCGAGTTTTTGGTAAACTATGATCCCTTTTTATGGTACATCCCGCGGTTATGAATATAGGTCCCTGAAATAGGAATAACTGCGAGCTCCCGACGCTATGACTTCCGAGGGAATTCTCTGCATTACGCTCGTTGAGTATCAGTGAATAGCTCTAGACCTGGTCGAAAACGGCTATAAGTAGATGACCGCGAAGTTCACGGTGAACATTACATACATGTGTCTGTTCCTTCTTACAAATCTGAGGACGTTTTTGAAGCGTGACAGGAAATACGTCCGGCATGGAATCCATGATGGATAGCCGCCTGTACAGTACATAGTAGAGGATCTACGAATTGGTCAATGTACTTTTCTATACATGTATTAATTTAAGAATAATTTAATAGCAGTTTTATTAATAGTATATGATCGCGAGTTGCTTCCGACCGCCGCAGCAAGCTCACCTAGCTGATATCCTGAGCGTAATGCAGTCCACATCTATGGTTTTAACATTAATCGACCCCATGACGATATCGAGCATGCACCCCTATATCAATGCCCACGAGCGTCAACGGCGTAATTTACGCGGCAGACATCGTCGAGTGATTCTTTAGTCTCGCGTCTAGTGACGACTGGAGACGACACGGGCGTACTGCATCGTGGTTAAGAATTGGGCATTATGCAAGTGGCCATTCGTTTACTTTTAAGACTTTTTTAGTATACATTTTCCAACACCAGCATCAAAATTCTCTTTGTTTAGTAGGTTTCTTTTTCAGACAACACTTCCACATAGTTAGCAATCCGTGTTACTTGACGATTCCAACTTTCGACGTCAAGATTCAAGCTATTCTCTTTGTAATCTGTCAATCGTCGGACGCAAACTTGGCGGTTGGCAAGCGATGGCGGCGATGCAGCACGTTATTTACTTTACCTCTCTCCAGCCTCGAATGTTTCTGTAAACTCGATAGTCCTGGACGTAGTTTACTAGCATTTTTGCAACGCCTTCGTTGTTGAGCCTTTCTTGGCCGAGTTTCAGCTTGATGTCCTCCATCCTGTATTTGTTCCATTTCTTAAACATCTCGCGCTTGAATGGCTCATTTTGAAGCATTTTATCGACAGTTTCTGGGGAGACATCGTTAGTCAGCTCCTTAGTTGCCTTCTCGCGTCTTATGTCGCGCCATTTCTGGTACCAGTTTTTGAACATCGTTTTGATCCATTGTTTGGCATCAGACAAGTTGATAGCTCGTTCTTCGGTGTTGGTGTTGTCGCCATTGTTCTTGTCGTAGCTCGATAGAGGTCTATCGCTGACATTCGTGGAGGTCGCTTGTCCAAGTAGTCTGGACTTGTCAGAAGGCGCCAATGTGGCTCTGACGCTTGCAACATAAACGACTATTAACACCACGAGAGCGTTTGCTAGGCGCATTGCTTGGTCTCGACTGCACTTAGCGAGTAGAGAAGAGTGTGCTCTCGAAGACAAGATGGAAACTGGAAGACCTGATGGGAGTTTTCAAATCTCACATTTATCCGCCCAGATTGATCACTTTGAATTACTTGACGTACCGCATTGCCCCTGTCCTAAGCGAAGTTTTGTCCTAAGCGAACTTCGATTATGGCCAATAACAGCGCTGTATTCATAACAGATGGCTGCCCATTAAAGGGTCTTTTCGCGAGCTAATTATAGGCAGCAGTCTGACCGGGGTTGATAAAGATGCAAAAGGAAGAGCGACAGCGTACAAATAGCCAGAGGTGTTCGACCGAAATACTATTAGCAGCTCTCACCAGCGGACCACTTTGGAATTTATGGAGGCAGGTCTTTCACGAACGGAACGCTCAACTGGATCAGTGTCGGATAATTTTTACTTTTTAGCTCTCATTATAAGATTTGCAAGTAATCTTACCCGTAAACGTCGAACACGAACGTTCGCTTAGGACAGGGGCAATGCGGTACTTATGGTTAATTTGTCATTTGCTACGTACCGGTACAGTAAATACTAATGGTTATTTTGTCATTCGTGCTAAGTATACCGCTTTTTATTCCCATTTCAGGGACCTAGATTATTATCGCGGGATGTCAGTTGTAAAAAGGAGTACAATAATATTGTACGGCCAGCATGGTATACTTGCAGTTCCAAGCTTTACTTTCATGAACGTTTATTGTAGTTATATTACTGATCTCCTCACAAGATTCCTTATACCCGCCGACGGAGCAACTCAGCCCCCTGACAACGTGGATACAACAACCCGTTCCGCAAGATCAAACATGGTGGCTGCTACGATGGCGAACGAACATGCCAACTTGCTGGAAGCTATAGACACGTATAACCAATTTTAAAGGTTTGACAGTCTTCATAGTACTATTTACTACTGGTTTGATTGTGGCGAGTTATTGGTAAACTATGATTCCTATTTATGGTGGGGATTAACATAAATTTGTTTGCAGCTGGTCATCGGGAGCCGCACATTTATTGGGGAAAATGACACCAGGTGAGTGGATACAGTACTGCACCCCGTTTTCGCGGGCTGAACCATATAGGATTTGCAAGTAATTCATATTTTAGGATAAATGCTTTACTTCATTTGGATTTAGAATTATAACATCCGGAAGTTTATCAAAGATCCAAGGGCGCGAAACGGGGTGCAGTACTGTACATGAAAGTAGTGACAGAATGTGTAAAATGGTCACAGACGAATATGGTGAACACAGCTTTCGTACCGACTCACTTACTGTCACAACTTGGCATTTAGCAAATCCCGTTGTTGGTCAGTGGGAGCCAATCCCAATTGGGGAGCGATACCGGTAATCACAGAACCCCCAGTCTAGTTTATCTCAATACTGTTTTTTTTTCATCCCCGCATGGTAGACTCCTTGACGTTTAGCTCTCGCGAAGCGTCTGCTATAGTCCATTCTGGATGGGCTTTCCACTTTTTTCAGCAGCTCTATATTCTCTCTCTCGGTCCGCTGGGTGCACTTGCGCTTGGACATCGCGCCCTTACTTCGAGATTGACCACCGGAACCAACCGTTCGAAACGAATCAGACTCAGATAATTCAGATTAACTCGTGCGACTTAATCTGAATCAGGGAGAAAGTCAGGTTAGCTCGCGCTAATTATTCTGACTCAGAAGAGATAGTCAAGCTAACCCGTGCGAGTTATTTCGACTCAGGGAGATATATTACAAACAAAGCCACGTCGTGTAATAGGCCTGCAGATCGCTCACTGCAAACTCATCCATTTCCTGCTCAAGTACGAGCTGGGCTAGGTGATCTGGACCTGTAGCTGTGAATTCTTGTGGCTCACCAGACACTGGTATTGCATGATGCCATGTCATGCTGCAAAGGTCGCAGTACTGAGTATAGACACGCACGGAACACTCGTACTGTACAGACCTCCCATGAGATAAAGCGTAGTCTTGAACAGCATGACGAGCATGTGAAGCAGTATCAAAAGTCATTCCGACTTGAATAGTGTTTTCCTCATCACCGCTGTTCAATCCATCAGCGATGTTGTCGATGTCCTCCGCCATATTGCGTCCCTCAGTCGTAATAAGTTGTTTTGGGACTTAAGAGTGTACGATTTGGGTCTTCATACGCAAGGCGAACATTAGTATACAATGGTTATTTGGATTTAAGTCCGGCCCACTTTGTTTCAGCCATTCAATCGATTGGACACACATTGTGACGTTTGTTCCCTGAATTTCTCACTTACTGACGCGGGTTTCACTTGGTACACCTACCGGCGATACCGACCCCACTTTGCATACGTTTTGGTACACCTTTAGCTTTTTGTCACAGCTTTAATGTATCCACTCACATTTTGTCATTTTCCCCATTTATTGTGCATCCCTGTTCTAGGGATTACTACCGAGGGCATTGTGTGTACGTTTTTATCGAATGAAAGTTAAATAAGTACCATTACAAACTTGCCGGCTTGAGTAAAGAAGAATAGGGCGACGTCGAGACGCCTTCGATATCCCGTGGCACCTCCGATGGTCGCTCCTCCTAACATCGGCGTCGCGTACATTTTTTTCTTCGATATTACTGGTACAGTCATTTACCAGTAGTATTACAGGTACCATTTACATGTAGCTAACATCATTGTCAACCGGTAGTGTAGCAATACTGAGCTACATGTAGCACACTTCCAAATCAGAGGCCGACTGCTCAAGCGATCCTTCGAAGACTAAAACACGTGGGGACTGGCAGTGATCCACAACGAAGAGACAAACGAAAGAGTATTTTAGCTAAGTACGAACGTTTCACTGGAGAAAACTAAACTGACCTCTATTCGGAGCACAGCGATCTTCCAGCAGCGCTCGAACGGATGGAAAGCCAGCAGGAACCTCCTGCGGGAGGAGGACCCAAGGGGCCGATAACGGAGGAGGACATCAGGAATGCCATCTCGGACAGAGAGATCATTGATGTCACGACTCCAAGCGATGGAGAAGAGGCAGAGACTGAAGCTAGAACGACACTAACAGCCAAGAAACACACAGAAAACAAAGAACAGGAAGTAGAAGTGGAAGCTATGTCGGACACCTCCGAACCACCACGGTTTGATGAAGCCACAGCAGAATCATTATCGTTTACAGACATGTACGAATACGTGCGAGGAGAAATCAAAGGAATGACACTGGATCAAGCCCAAGACGTCGAGAGCGTAGTAGCGTTTATACAAGACATGTTCGCGGACGTGTTTCTAGCACGACCGGCAGAACCACTAGCACCAAACCGCAATCACTACCCTGAGCTGGAGGAGGAAGAAACACGGCGAATGTTGCAACTGTTTCTGACGGATATCCAAGAGGAAACAGCAAATGCACGCAAATGGAGAGCACGGATGTTGGATCTAACGCGGATAATCTATAAATCAAGGAAGAGTCTGAAGGAAACACTGGAGTTCACGGAACAAGCGGCTAGGGTAAAACCAAAAGCGTCAACAAACCCGTGGCTCGAAAACTCGTACTACCCTCAGAGAAAACCCGTGGCTCGAAAAGCTCGTGCTACCCTCAGAGAAGAACACGGAAGATGATGAAATGAACGGTAGAGCGAAGTTTTCCACATTCAGGTTCCTTCGATCAAGTTATCAACCTAACGAGATCGAGCAACTTAAGAAACTATGCGAAGATCGCTATGGGTTTCAAGACGCACTGAGACAGCCAACCGAAGCAGAATGGAAGGTATGTGAAAGGCATCCTTGAAGGCACGATACTCTGCATGGCGAAATTCCCTGATTTTTTAACGAGATTATGCACGAACGAGGCACTCAGAATGATTTAGAACACGTTTAGGGCTCAGGTGGAAGGGGACCTAATGTTCATGCTGTCACCACAATTTAAGGTGTATCCGGCTTTCAATCGCGAAAACGACTCACAAATGAGTTCTTCATGGGCATCAATAATAGCGCAAATGACCCTAAGAAGGTAGGACACATGCTGCAAGAAGCTAAGCAAATTTGCTATGACCAAGGGCACCACACAGTTCACATCATCTGCTGGACTAGAGAGATGGCAGTAGAATAAAGCAAGGAATTCAAAACCCTTAGCTTTAGAACTCGTCAATTTCCACTCAAGAACGCGCATGAAGAAGAGGAACCACTGCCACAAGACAACACACAACGAGCAACTCAACTGTGGGTCAGACAAATAGGATTGGATGGCATCAGAAATGAACAACCTTAAGACAGATATCATGTGCGCCTCATGAACATTTCGAGGCTCCTGGATGAAGCTGCCTTCGATGCCTACATCAAACAAAAATTTTCCGGGATTTACATCACATGGCAAGAGCCAAGTGATGACAACAAAACACTTCAGACAGACACGTGGGATATTCACTTCAGGAGTCCGCATTGTCCGCAGTTCCTGGAAGAAAAAAGGTTCATCAACTGGTTAGGAACAAAAATATTGGTGCATCATGTCAGCAAGAACAGAGCATCACCTTGATTTTCCTGTGGAGGACAAGGGCACATGCGTACGGGATGTAACAGCTCCGATGGAGACTGGAGGAAGCAGTACTGCATTGATGTAAGCGCGGCAGACATAGCGACGGTATCTAGACAGAAATCCACGGTAACTAGCTTGGGGGAATTGGAAAAGTACTGGGTTCATGCGAAACAAGAAGAAAGCCACCAAGAAAATCAAATCAGACAACCGAGAGAGACATCGAAGATAATCTTGCAGAGGGAGAACACAAAGCAGATTGAACCATCAGCAAAACGTTTGGCCAGGAGCAAAAGCAAAACAACCAGAGACGAATGGAATATGGTAGGAAAAGGAAAGACGAGCCGACACCAGAGAAGCCAACTACAGGAAAGAAGAACACAAGCTCAGCAAAACGGAGAAGCAAAAACAGAATCTACAGCAAAAAAAACAGAAACAAAGACAAAACAAGCGGAACAGAAATACAAGAAGGAAAAGGAAAAACGATTACAGAAGAAGTGAAGGACAGACTACGGGAGAAAACTCAATCAATGGAGAAGATACAGAGGTTGGTAGCCAAACAAATCAAGGCGAAAGCAAAGAGCACAGATTTCAAGCACGATGCAGATTGTTTACATGTTCAGCCACAGGAAACGGAAGGATGGACCGGGAAACAAGTGCTACAGCGGACAGGGCTCAAGGAAATAGCAACACCAGCAACTGGAAATTGTCAATACTACGCAGTAGCAATGGCCCTAATTCGACAGACTTTTGACACAATGGAAACAATAAAGCGATTGAAAACCTGACCACCAAGCTGAAAAAAAGGGGGGGTAGCAGCGGCAAATCATTTCTTTGAGCAGGAATTCCCGCATGACATCAGGGAGGCTATTTTGACGACACTCGATGACGACAACGGAAAACTTACACCACTTTAACCCCTTTAGCCCCGCGTTTTTGGTCGAAAATTGCCCTGTACAGCACAGGATAAGCGATTGACTTGAGTTAACTATTTGCGGAGTTTTGCAAGGCTCACAATCATCACGTGTTATCTACTCGGTACAGTACAGGGTAAATGAAAAAGTCGTGATGCCCAGTTTAGCGTGATAAGCTGTACTTGCCCGACGAGTGGTGAATTTGTAGACAACACATTTCAAAATTTTAGTAAATTTATTGACTAACCAAGATTATCTTCATTCACTAAATGATGGCTGTTTATATACACTCTGCATCACTAGCTTCTCTAACTACACTACTAGCTACGACAACTGATGTCCTCGCACTAATTGACGGCGCCTTTGAACTGCCATTGCTATCACTACCTGTGTCGAGATACCCTTCATCGGCTTGATCAGCTCCAGCACGAGGATGTGGAGCACGGAGTCGTATCGCCTTGAGCCCAGGAGGAATATTTGCCCCACCACGCCAAAGGTCGTGCCATATCTGGCTACAAGTAGCTGAGCTCGTCGCCCCAGTCGAATCGTGTTGCCGCACCTTTTGGCAGAGAAATATCTTCCCTCGGGCATTAGTACTATCCGCCGCTCCTTCTCTCGACCTTTCCGCAGAGCACTCAACGCAATAGAACGTTGTTTCCCACGGGGTTTTTCCAGGGCGCAGCAAGGAGCACACCTTGCACCCATACTGCCGGCGTTTCCTCGACTCTTGTCCATTCTTCGTACGTGTAGTGCGAAACGCATCAGCTTGTTGTGTAGTGTGGCGTCCTGGTAGTGTGGTGTAGTAGAACACACAAATATCGTCAGATGTGGATTCCTTACACAAACCACAACGAATCGCCGAGTTAGGTCGGCGGTTGTATGGCCTGCGCAGAGGGTGGTTCCCTCGCGGTCCGGCCCTTCCGGGACAGACGAGTGGCTCGCTTCCACTCGGTTCCGACTAACCAAGTCAGATCACTTCCGAGGCTCCGCCGAGTTTGGTTCGGCTGAGCTCGTTCACAACCCTGTGCCCTCCACCAAAGGATGGACGACGGCGCGCGAGCGCTTTTACAGGTCACCGAGCGCAGAGGCTGCTCAGCTAGAAGTGTTACGGCACCCGGGCTATCCGACGTACCGGCCCGCTGAGTATGCGGGACTTTCTTTCGCGCGTAGCGAGACTTTGTCCTACCCGGACCGACCTAATCTCTTGGCGCTACCAGTCAATACCCTACAAGCTATGCCTCTCGAGTATTGACGGCAGGCATAATCCAGCCCTATGCAGGGACTTACCGGAAAAGTGTACACGTGTCTTGGACTAGGAAAATTCTGCTCTGTTATCTTCTGGGAGCCTTTTCGGCTCCTCCTATTTAATCCTATGCTTCTCATACAAATATCTAGTGAAATGTAGTCGTTTCGGATCTCTACCGACTCTTCAGGCGGCCGTTGAGCTCAGCGGCTATCCGGATAGCATATCCGGACAGATCGCCGAGTACTTACCGTGATCCTTGGCTCCTAAGCTCTGGGTTATCAGACCGAGCCGATTCTTGACCTAAAGTAGGTCGGCGTATGGTCGAATCTGGAAATCCCTACACCACAACTGCCCCGGTTATGATACGAGCCGAGCTGGTGAGTGTCTTAATCCTTCATTTTGTTCTGCCACCGTTGGTCCGTACTCGGCTGATGACGTCTCGCGGCTCCCCACCACCTTCTTTGGTACGTTCGTTGCTTCCGCTATCACTCACTTGGCAGCTCCTTACTCTTCGCATGTTGTTCTAGCACAACCCGTGGAACCATCCTTCTTCTCCAACTCCTCGTCGAGGTGACGGCGTGCCAGCTGAGTCGATTCCTCGACCCGTCGGTACTCGTGGGGTCAGCGACCGGCATGAAGCTGGGCTGGTCGACCTGACAACTTCCCATGAGTCTGACGCGGAGTCGGCGGGGTCTTCTCGCGTGCGCCTTCCTGGTCCACCGAGCTTGCCAGGCGACACCACTTCGGGCGCCACCAATCAGCCAAGCTCGGCTGCTCCAGTGAGTCTTGACTCCCTCATGGCCAGAATTAACGAGCAAGGGCATGATCGCCGAGAAGAATTGACCTTCTTGGCGAGGCTCATGGCTTACGGATTCACTCGTTCCGTGGAACCCTCCGATCCTGTACAGCGGCGAGCGATTTTGCATGCTGCTTCCGCGGGGGAACTGTTGGATATCCTGAAAGGCAATTACGCCGCTCTTGATTACCCCAAGATCATCGGCGATCTCCAAGCTGACAACCAAGCTGTTCAGGAGGAGAACCGCGCATTGACTCGGCGACTGGACTCGCTTGCTCTCAGCAATGTCGACTTGTCAACTCAGCTCTCGTCGGCTCAACAGCAAGTGTCTCGATTGGAGGCTGCTGCCAAGCAATCGGCTAATCTCCTCGCGTCGCTGCGGAAGGCTGTAGCTCTGAGTGAGGCGAAACTTGCTCGGGCCATCGCAGCTGAGCAGAGCAAGGTCGACGCTGCGTTGAGTCAGGCCCAGCTCCGCCATCAGCAAGTCTTGGATCGGGACGCCGAGATCGACGTCCTTCTTCGATCCCTTTCTGAGAGGGATGCGGCGTTCGTCACTCTTCAGGGCATCGCTTCCAAACACTTCGAACAGCTGCAGGAGTCGGTGCGGTTGTACAGTTCCACCGGTACTCAACCCTTGCGGCACGCTCAGTCGGTGATCGCTGAGCAGCGAGCGGTGATCTTGCGACAGAAGCGGCTCATCCGTCGGAATGGTATTATTCCGATGCACGATCCTCACATGGCTGCTGCTGCTGGCGGTGGCTTGCAAGTTCCTGGGCTTGATCCGTCCGACCTTCTCCTCAACGCCCGGCTGTGTCGTGTCTTGGAGTCTCGCTTTCCTGAGGTTCTCACCATTCCCGCTGGTGAAACTCGGCGGTTGGAGTTGATTGTCCATCCTCGCCGAGATGCTCCAGTGGCGAGTTCCGTTATTGGTCCTGGTGTGGTTCCCTCAGCTAGTCAAGGGTCTTCGACCGGTGAGCTCGGCTCAGATGGCGAGCGTGCGTCTGATGACGACTCGGCGGACGATGGGTTGGGTTCTCCCAATCTCCGAGGCGCGTCTCCGAGTATGTCTCTGTTCGGCACCCCACTCCCCAGTGGAACGGATCCTCAGCCCACTTCCGCCGCGTCGGGTCCTGA